TTATGTGTGAAACTGCAACCCTGAAGTGATTAGTATGACTTTGTGGTTGTGTCACCCTATGACTATAATGGTTTCAAGTGATTGAATTTATAGTCAGAGGACCTGCGTTCAAATTCTGGCTCTGCCATTTATCAGCTGTGTGACCTTGGGCAAGTCACTTTCTTTTGGTTTTCCCATGTGTAAAATGAGATGGTGAGCCTAAATTATGTCTAAAGTCCTTCCAGCTCTAAATCCTATGTCATATTTATGTCTTTAATGTTTAAAAATGGCTCTGCATAACCTATGGTTTTATGATTTCGACTGTAACGGTTACTGTGTGACCATGAGTGACTATTGGTGTCTGTAACTGTCATTGTGCAGCTGTACCTATGACACTGCCTGTGTGGCCGTGTGTTGCGCGCTGAGCAGCTGTACTGATGCTGGGTTACTATATTTAAAAAGGACAGTTGGGTCTCGTGTGTTTGTGTGTGTGTGTGTGTGTGTGTGTGTGTGTGTGTGTGTGAGAAATTACTATCCTGCTGTTGTGTGACAGGGTGTCACTATGTGTTAGACTGTAACACACTATGTGTGTGAACGGTTATTGTCTACCTGTGTGCTGCTGTTGTACAAGCCCCTGGGAGCCACACACACTTTAGAGGATGTATGTTATTCTCTCTGGGTGTTTCTGTTGGGGGAGAGGGTCCCACAGCTTACGTAGGCCCAGGCTACTTTCAGCCAGTACGCTCTCTTTTCTCCCCCCACTCCCCAATCTCCCCATTCTGAAGGTAAACGGACAATAACGACTCCATCCCGGGGGAGGGAAGGGGGGGGGAAGCGTTCTCTGTCCAGGAAGGATGTTACCATGGTAGCCAACACTTGCGTCTCAAGCAAAGCAGTGTCCCACCCTACCATCCCCAGTAAACTGCGCGTCTGAACCCCTCCACACTCCGCCCATGTTTATGTCAGTGCATGGGACCCTCCTCTGGTGGGCCACGCCCCGAGGTAAGCGCCCTCCCTTTGGGTCCCCCCTCCCTCCCTTCTCCCTTGATTGGTGGACATGTGGTTAATTTCCTTCATTCCCACACACCCCTCCCAGCAACAGCCAATGCATTCGACCAAGCCCATTCTTTTCCCCTCAACATTCTTCTCCCCCCCCCCAACAGTTGCAGCCTGGGGGATTGTGGAGGAGCGGGGGTGTCTCTGCAATGCGGAGGAGGTTACCATGGCAACTGAAGGAGGCTGCTAAGGGAAGGAAGGTAGTTGCTGTCTTAAGGGGAGCCAGCCCTCCCCCTCTGCGTTTCCTCTTCACAGCCTGTCACCCGAGACCCTTTCCCCCACCCCAGTCCTGTCTGTCCCAGAGGAGGGGGCTGAATAAGAAGACCCTCTACTCCCACTCCAGTCCTCCTTCTTCCCACAACCTTTCTGGGCTGTGGTGATAACAGGCAGCGATGGGTATTGGTCCGAGGGTGACTGGTTGTAGCAGGGTTTACTAATTTGGCAGGTGAGAGAGAGACTGTAAGATAGAGTTCACTTATAAGCTTTAGTTTATCTGTATTTTAGGACACGATGGAAAGATATGGGCTAGACGCTAGTCCAATCAGGCAGATTCAAAGAGCTTGAGTGCTCTGACCCAGGAAGGCAGCATGTTAACCGTCAAACCAGTTTTAATAAATCAAGCATTTATTAAGCACCTATTATGTGTCTGGCCTTTTGCTAGGCAGTGGGGATACAAAGAAAGAGAGAGAGAAAAGACAGAAGAGAGAGAGAGAGAGAGAGAGAGAGAGAGAGAGAGAGAGAGAGAGAGAGAGGAGAAGGAAGAAAGAAGGAAAATTTCAAGCCCTCTAAGTGCTTACATTTAACTGGGAGAAAACAATTTACATACATAGAAGGAAATAGGAAGTAATTTATATACATAGAAGGCTATACAAAATAATTTTGAGATTCTCTGGGTGACAGAGGGGAAAGATCAGAAAAAGTGTCATGTGGGAGGTGACTGGAGCTAAGCTTAGGCGTCAGAGGTGAAGAGGGAGAACCTCCATTCAAGGCATTGGGGAGCAGCCATGAATGAAGATCGAATATTATATGTGAGAAGCATATACTTAGTTTGACTAGAAACGTAGAACGGGTAAAAGGCAATAATAAATCAATAAACCTGGAAAGGTAGGCTGGAGCCCCATTGTGAACGCTCCAAATGCTAAACAGAAGAATGTATGTTTATCCCAGAAGCAATAGGGACCCACTGGAGCTTCTTGAGCAGAGGAATGACATGGTCAAACTTGTGCTTTAGGAGTCTCATTTTGGCAGCTCCTGTGGAGGATGGTAGGAAAGTGGGTCTCCAACTGATTGGCCAAGGGATCTAAATTTAGCCCTGGGCTGTTTAACATTTTTGTCAATGGCTTGGACAAAGGCTTAGATGACATGTTCATCAAATTTGCAGGTGACCAAAACTAGGAAGGATAGACAACATATTGGACAATAGTCAGATCTTGACAGACTATAACACTGAACCAAATAAAATTCAATTCAATAGCCATAAGTGCAAAAATCTGACACTTTGCTTCAAAAATAAACTTCACAAGTACAGGATGGAAGGCAGGCTTAGACAGATAGATTTGAGGGTTTTGGTGAACTGCAAACTCAATATAAGTTGAGAGTGGGCTGCGGCAGCTAAAAAAGCAAATGTAATTTCATACTGCTTTAAAAGCTGTGGTGTGCAGAATAAGTGACTCAGTAATCCCACCATTCTCTACTCTTGTCAGCCTGCATCTATATTGTTGTTTAGTTGTGAGCACTATATTTTAGTAAGGGCATTGATGAACTGGGTGGCATCCAGAGGAAGACAACCGGAATGGTGAAAAAAGCCTTTTGAGATCATGATGTGGAAGAACTGGGGATGGTTAAGCTGGAGAACAGAATACAGGAGTGAGACAGGAGGTATATGATACTGGTTTCAAGTATTTACATGGCTGTCATGGGAAAGAGGGATTAGATTTGTTCCGCTTGGCCCCAGAGAACAGAACAAGGAGCCATTGGGAGTCTGAGGGGAGTGGGCATAGGGATAGGGATGTGGAGAGAGACACCATGACCAGGAAGATAGATTTTAAGTCAATGGAGGGAAGACCTTCCTAGAAATCTGAGCTGTCCAAGAGTGGAATGGGATGCCTTAGAAAGTAGCGATTTCTCCGTCACTAGAGGTCTTCAAACGGATGCCGGATGATCTCTTGTTTGGGATCTTGAAATGGGTAGAATATAGATTCAGTGGCCTCTGAGGTCTTTTCTAAGAGATGTAAACTGTGACCTAACGGATAGAAGGCTGGACGTGGAGTTAAGAAAACCCAGTTTTAAACCCCACCTCTCACTCATGATAGTTTTGTGACCACAAGCAATCATTTTTTCCAGTTTCCTCATCTGTACAAAGGGGTGTTCGTGTCTATCTCACCGGTTAGTGTGTGTAGCCAATGGGTAATGGGGTAATAATAAGCTGCTCTGCAAACTTTGAAGAGTTTTACACCTTTTCAATAAGTATCAGTTGTTATTATTCCAGCTTTGAGTTTCTGTAGTTTGTGTCAGGGCAAGAAGGAGATATTGGGGTCTGTGATGGCATTCAGTAAAAGATCCCAGCATTTTAAAGCTGAAAGAGATCTTGGAGGGACAGCTAGGTGGCGCAGTGGATAGAGCACCGGCCCTGAAGTCAGGAGGTCCTGAGTTCAAATCAGATCTCAGACCAAACACTTGATACTTGCTAGCTGTGTGACCCTGGGCAAGTCACTTAACCCCAATTGCCTAAAACAAAAATAGAGAGACCTTGGAGATCATGTAATCCATCTTCTCTTTGCCCTCTGCAATTTTTACAAACAAGGAAACCAAAAGCCAGAAAAGTGAGTGTTGTTATTCATTCAGTCTGACTCTTGGTGACCCCATTAGAGGTTTCCTTGGCAAAGAAACTGGAGCGATTTCCCATTCCCTTCTCCCCGTCATTTTACAGATGAAGAAACTGAGGCAAACAGGATTGAGTGACTTGCCCAGTGTCTCTGAGGCCAGATTTGAACTCAGAATGAGTCTTCTTGACTCGAGGGCTGGCACTCTGTCCACTGTGCCACCTAGCCACCCAAAAAGTGAATGACCTGCCCCTAAATTACCCAGCTAGGGGTTTGTGAGTGTCAGAAGGGAAAAAGGAGTGTTGGTTGGGGGGAGGGTGATAGCTTTTGTGATGGTATCAGGTTGAGAGGGAGGCATAGATCTGGGGATAGAAGTTCAGGATAGTGTCAGGCAGAAGAAGGTGCTTGATCTCGGGGTGATGGTGTTTATGATATCGTCATACACACACACACACACACACACACACACACACAGAAGGGTGTTGGTCCAGTAGTGATGGCCTCTGAGATGGTGTCAGAGGGAGTCGTAGGTCTGAGGTGATGGGGATATGAAAGTACCAGACAAACAGCGGGGTGTTGATCGTGGGGCACAGAGTCAAATGGAATATTGGGATTTGCGATGATGTCAGAGGGCAGTGGGGTGTTGGTCTGACCCTTATGGCCTCAAAGATAGTGTTGGGGGGAGACAGGGTAAACCTGAGAGTTTGTGACTTCTAGAAACTCATAGCAGGCAGTTTTGGGCAAAGGAACAAAAAATGGAGGGGAGTAGGGGGTGGGAATGAGGGTTGGCATCTTCTGGGGTATGTGAAGTTCCTTGATCTTTGCTGGGGGCCTTCGGAACTGGGTTCCTAGATATGGAGTGTCTGTGTGTGTGTATAGGGACTTTCCTGTTGTGCCCCATCTCTTCCCAAATGGGGGCTGAGGCCCTCCCCTCTCTTGGTAGCATCCTTCCCTGCTCCTAAGAAGGGATCGAGGGGAAGGCCATGGGGGTCTTAAAGACTTCCTTCCTTCTCCCCTCAGCCTGCCAGGGTGCTGAGCTCCTCAGCCCAGAGGGGCAAGCAGGAATCACTGGGGCCCCCAGTGATTGTCGCTCCCTCCTCCCTCCCAAGAAATTCATGCCTGGGTTTCCTCTCTGTGCATTAGAAGGTGGAACCAAGAAACTACCAAGCAACATCAGGCGGAGCACGGAGACAGGAATCGCTGTGGAGATGAGAAGCAGGGTCACACGGCAGGGGAGCCGAGAGTCCACCGATGGCAGCACCAACAGCAACAGCTCCGAGGGCACGTGCGTCCTCCCTGCCTGCTCCCCCATATTACCTGGGCACGGGGTGGGCTCAGGGACCCTCCTGTGTGAGAGCCACCTCCAAAGGCAAAGCATTTCAGGCTCAAAGAGACATTAGGTAGTTCTCCCTTCAGGCCTCAGTTGTTCCATCTGTAAAGTGGGAGGTGAGGTTACTAGATGTTTCCTGAATCGTGGCATCCAATGATCTCTGGTTCTCTGTCTTCCCTCCCTTGACCTCCACACAGTCCAGAGGGGAAGAGAATCCTGCCCTTAATAAGAGGCACCAAGTACAGAACAGTGGTGAGACCAAGAATTGGAGGCACGGACTCTGGGATTTGGGTCAGAACTCAAGGTTGTCCTTGAAAAAAAAAAGTCCTTGCCTGGAAGCCAAGAGACCTGTGTTCTAGTCCTGACAATGGGCTAGATGAGAAGATCTTTGAGGTCTCTCTCAGCTCGGATGTTTTAGGATTCTGCAGCAGTATGGTCTGTTAGGACAAGCCCTGGACCAGGGCTGAAATCCTGGCTCTGAGGCTCACTACCTGTTTGATCCCGGTCAAGTCACTAACCAGTCAATCAATTCAACATTTATTAAGCACCTACTGTGTGCCAGGTGCTGTGCTAGGTGCTGGGGATACTAAAAGAAGCAAAAGGCAGTCCTTGCCCTCAAGGAGCTTACAATCTAATGGGAAGCTCGTTGGCCTCACTTTCTTCATCTGCAAAATACGGGGGCTGTTCTATATGGCCTCTAAGATCCCTTCCAACTCTAGAACTATGATCCCACTCAATGTTACCTACCCGTCATTATTCTGCTCGTACAATCGTTTTTTCTTATGACAGATCTCTCTTCCAATGATCTCAAAACGCTTTTCAGAACTGGTTTCATTTTGTCCCTTAGAGTGGTGACATTACTCCTCCTCCTCTTCCTCCTCCTCCTCTTCCTCCTCCTCCTCTTCCTCCTCCTCTTCCTCCTCTTCCTCCTCCTTCTCCTCCTCCTCCTCTTCCTCCTCCTCTTCCTCCTCCTCTTCCTCCTCTTCCTCCTCCTTCTCCTCCTTCTCCTCTTCCTCGTCCTCGTATTTCTATAGCACTTTACCTCGTTCCAAGGGCTTTGCTCCCTGGTGGTCCATCAGTAAACTGAGGTGGCCTAGCAGGTTGCTCCCAATGCTGTGGCCCATCTGTCCCTGACCTGGCCATCCTCCTTAGACTGCAGACTCCATGGGAGCATAGGCTGTTTTATCTAAATGTGCCTCTCCCCCAGCCCTGGGGACAGGGCCTTTTGCATACAAAGAGCCTTAACATTAACAAAGCCCTTCCCCACATCAATCCCGAGAGATGGGTATTACAAATAGTATTTTTTCCTATTTTACAGTGGAGGAAACTGAGACTCAAAAGAGGGGAATTGACCTGCCCAAGTTCAAACAGGCAGTAACTATCAGAGTCAGTATTTGAACACAGGTCTTCTGGATCAGAATTTCCCCTACCCTCCTCCTACCCTGCAGAGGGGGAAAGGAGGACCTCGGCCCCAGGTACCCGTATCCCCACATCCTCGGGGTATCCTAACCTGTGCTCTGGACTTCCTTTTTATCTTGTTGTCCACAGGTTCATCTTCCCTACTGCCAGACTTGGAGCTGAGAGCCAATTCAGTGACTTCCTGGATGGCCTGGGGCCAGCCCAGATTGTGGGGAGACAGACACTGGGGACACCCCCGATGGGTGAGTCTTCCAAGGTGACTGGGGTTGGGCAAGGACCACATCCTTCCCCAGTTCTCTTCTTGGGGAGCAAGGGTACCACTGCCTGGTCTGAGAACAGCAGAGAGAGCTCATTTCATCACTAGATGGTGTGGGAGGAGCCGCAACATCCCATTTCCTCTGACTCCCCTACCCCATTATCACATGGAAAGACAGAAAAATAGATGGGGGGGGGAGAGAAAGAGAAAGAGAAAGAGGAGAGAGAGAGAGAGAGAGAGAGAGAGAGAGAGAGAGAGAGAGAGAGAGAGAGAGAGAGAGAGAGAGAGAACGAGGAGAGACATAGAGGAGAGAGAAAGAGAAAGAGAAGAGAAAGAGGAGAGAGAACGAGGAGAGACAAAGAGAAGAGAGAGAAAGAGAGAGAGAAAGAGGAGAGAGAGAGAAAGAGGAGAGAGAGGAAGAAGAGAGAAGAGAAAGAGGAGAGAGAGAAGAGAGAGAAAGAGAGAGAGAGAGAGAAAGAAGAGAGAAGAGAGAGAAAGGAGAGAGAGAAAGGAAAGAGAGAAGAGAGAGAGAAAGAAAAGAGAGAAAGAGGAGAGAGAAAGAGGAGAGAGAGAAGAGAGAGAAGGAAGAGAGAGAAAGAGGAGAGAGAGAGAAAGAGGAGAGAGAGAACGAGGAGAGAGAGAGAAGAGAGAGAGAAAGAAGAGAGAGAAAGAGGAGAGAGAGAGGAGAGAGAGAAAGAGGAGAGAGAGAACGAGGAGAGACAGAGAGAAGAGAGAGAAAGAGAGAGGAGAGAGAGAGAGAAAGAGGAGAAAGAGGAGAGAGAGAGAAAGAGAGAGAGAGGCTCAGTAAACACTCAGTCTGTGCCAGGCCCTGTGATGATCTCTAGGGATTCAAATACAAGTAATCAAGATTGCCCTCAAGGAGCTTCCATTCTAAGAGAGGGGAGGACATATAAAGAGCAGTTGGAAAGAGGGGTGGGGGACACAGGGAGGCTGCATGGTATGGAGAGGGTTCCCAGGCCTGTTTCCTGTCAAGACAAGGTGAAAGCTCACCAGTGTTGTGGGGGATCGAGGGGGTTGGACAGGGGTGCAGAAGATAAGAAGGATGTCTATAGTGTAGGTAGCATGGTGTAGACATCACTGGCAAGTGCTTCCCAAAGTCTAACCGTGGTTCCCCCTGCTGCAGCTACAGCCCATGATGCTAATTCATCAGAGACCCAAAGGTCAAGGTTCTCCCTGGGACGAGGTAGAGAGTCACTCAGCACTTCTGTAATTCTAAGCTGGCCTTGAACATTTAAGAGTAGTGCCCCCTGGAGACCAAAGCTGTGTAAGACTGGGCTCCCTTTCCCTTGAGCCTGCTTAGGGGAGACTTAGGATAACCCCCTGAGGACCTCTAGGCTGCTGTGGGCAATCAGGTGAGGTCACAACAACTCCGTGCCCTCCCCCACCCGACCCCCTCAGTCCAGCCGTCTACCAACTTGGCAAATTTAGCCTGGACCTGGCTGATGCAAAAATTATGGATAACCCAAGAAACAGTTGCTAATTCCAGAGTTTTGTCTGTTTTTGGTTTGCATATATAATTTCTCTGGATCACATTTTATTTCCTTGTTTTATTTGTCCTGGACTGTTATGAAAATGAGTCGGAGGGGCAGCTAGGTGGCACGGTGGATAGAGCTCTGGCCTTGGAGTCAGGAGTTCAAATCCGACCTCAGACACTTGACACTAGCTGTGTGAACTTGGACAAGTCACTTAACCCTGATTGCCTTACCAAAAAAGAAAAACAAAACAAAACAAAATAGTCTGGCTTGCTCAAGTGAATGTTGGATGGAAGCTGGGAAGGGAGCCTTGATGCAACTAGGGTCGTGGAGGGGGGACGAGAAGCAAGCCAGGGTTCCCCACAAACCACATGTCTGAGGGCCAGCTCTGTTACATTTCACCCCCTTCCCCCCCCCAGGATTCTCTGGCATCTTTAAGGGGGAAATGAAGGGATCTCTCTTCTCTGCCATTGGGTGAAGCCCCCAAATTTAGGAGTCCAAACACTCCAGTTCCATTTAAGTATTTACCTACCATAGTCAGATCAGCTTGTCCAAAGAAATACTTCCTTCAAAGACACAGCAAGAGCAAGTATACAAACATCCCCCCCACCCCCGCCCCAGGCACACAATCCCCTCTGCAGAGCCTTAGTCTCTGAGGAAGGTCGGGAGATTAGGCTCAAAGCTTCATTTGGTTCCTACATAACATTAGTCCCAACTCATTCAAGTCCAAAGTCTCTAGCCTCCTTTTGCATCCCGGCTTCTCAGCACTTAGCCCAGGGCCTGGCACATAGCGGTCTCTTCATAAATGTTGACTGGCTGACTACTGGCCTGCTTACAACATCCAGCCCATAATCCTGGGCTCCAGCGTCCCCTTGCCTTGAGCTCCCTGGTTAGGGATTCCCTCCCCGTGCCTAGAAACTCAAAGGACAAATGAAACAGACAAAAGCCTCCAGCCAATTTCTTGGGGCTACGTGACCTAAGAGGAAGGGAAGGTGGCCCTGTCCCCTTCTTTGTATGTGAGTGAATGAGTCCTTCCTCGCCCCAGACTTGAGGGAAGAAGAGAGAGACTGCCCCAGTTAGATGGTTTTAAGGATTCAGCTAGTTACAGCTATGCAGTCAATGCAAAGAAGCTGCTCCCAACCCATTTGGTAGGCCAACACATGCTGTCCAAGCACACCAGGTCTTCTCTCTCCCAGGAGCCACTCCCAAGCATCTCCCATGTGGGAGACACCATTTCCGGTGGCCTACGCATGCGCCAAGCCATGTTACTCACGGACAGTCCACAAACTGGATAATTTAATTTATTGTAACTCGAGAAGTTGCCCAGCCTCTTCCCCTTGGGCTATCTGTTATGTGGATTTTTCTGTCATTGGAAGGAGGGGTGTAAGGATCAACTTCCCTTAACATAGAAAATTGAGAGCTGAACCCAGTTCCCTTTGTGGCCATGGCCAGCACAAAGTACCTTACTTTTCTCTTTCTTGGTGCCCAGGGGATGTTCACATTGCAATGATGGACCGGAGTGGTCAGCTGGAGGTGGAAGTGATTGAGGCCCGAGGCCTTACCCCCAAACTGGGCTCTAAGTCCCTCCCAGGTAAAGCTAATACAGAGTGAAGTGGGGATCAAGTCCTGGGGGCTGGGCTGGAGGGCGGACTGACCAGCTCCAAGTCTCTGAGATGGCCCAGGCATGAGCTGTGGGTCACACCCCAACTTGGAAGATTTGGAATTCGAACACCTGGGTCCAAGTCCTGGTTCTGCGACTTGCCAGCTGTGTGATCTTGGGCCTCAGTTTCCTTCTCTGTAAGGAGATGAGGCGTGAGATCACTAAGGGCCTACTTATTAGCCTGAGGCTGGTGGGGAATTCTGAAGAATAAGGAGACTGGCATCCTAAGAGGCCGAGGGATTGTGGGCATTCCTCCCAATGCTCATCATTCAACTTCACACGGGAGGGATGAAGTGGGACTGTCTACTTCTCCTCACCTAATTGTAGAGGCTGCGTTTTAGGAAAGACTGGAGGGCATCTGAGAGGTTGCCCAGGATGGGCGAAGCTGTGCCAATCAAGGGTCAATTGAAGGACTAGGGAGCGTCTAGAAAAGGACAGAGTGATTGCAAAGAGCTAACAAAGCTTCACCAAGAAAAAGTGATTTCTGAGTCATCTGTTCTTTCCTGATAAGTTTCCTAGGCTGGTAGATGAGGGGTTAGTGTAACTTTCCTGGACATATTATTATGGACAAAACTTGGGGCCCATGGCTATGGCTAGACTCTGGTACATACATGTAAGTAGATTAAGAGCTGGTTGACTAGACTGCAAAAGAGTAGTCATTAATGATTGAATGTCAGCTTAGAAGAAGGTCTAAGAAAACAAAACCTAATAAGGATCATGGTAAAATCTTACACTTGAGTTCAAAACAATCAACTTCCCCAGTACATGACTAGATACAACTACCTTTTTTTTTTTTGGCCTGAAAAAAGATCTGAGGGTTTCAGTAGACTGCAAGCTCGTTATGAGTAGTATCAGTAGTGTGAGATGGCAGCCAAAAGTAAGAATGCAATCTTGGGCTGCGTTAAGAGAGTTGTTCAGAGTCTAAGATCAGAGCAGGGACAGTTCTGCTACACTACAGTGTCAGACCACATCTAGAGTAGTGAATTCTGGGCGCCATATTTTGAGGACACTGATAAGGTAGAGAGTGTCCAGAGTAAGGAACCTGGATGGTAAAGACCTTGATATTTTGCCACTGGTTGGATGAACTGGGGGTAGTTAGCCTTGGGAAGAGAAGGGAACATGACCACTGACTTTGAGAATTCAGAGGACTCTGCGGAAGAGGGATTAGACTTGTTCTATTATGCCCCCAGAGTGGAAGTTTCATGGAGGCAGATTTCAGATGGATGGAAGGAAATGCTCCCCGACAGAGCTGTTCCAAAGTGGAACGGCCTGCCTCTGGGGGTAGTGGGTTCTTTGGGACTGGTGGTCTTCAAGCAGAGGCTGGATAACCACCGGTCAGGTTTGGGCCGCTCAGAGATGGTGGAGATGGCCACCCCCTCAGGATGACATCCCGGACCACCCTGCACCGTGCCCTCCATAGCTGACATGCCGCCCTCTCCTTCCTCCAGCCACCTACATCAAGGTTTACCTGCTCGAGAATGGAGCCTGCTTGGCCAAGAAGAAGACGAGGGTGGCTAAGAAGACGTGTGATCCCTTGTACCGTCAGGCCCTGCTGTTCGATGAGGGGCCCCAGGGAAAGGTGTTACAGGTGAGTGTCCTTGGGGCAGAGGGGGATGGGTCAAACCTGGGCTTCAGTGGGGAGGCCCTGAGCTTTCCTGTCTGGGAGCACCGCTGAGCAATTGGCAGGTGGGGAATCGGTGGGAAGGTTTTCTTGTTACTGCCTTCCTGCTGGGGAGGACTCAGGAAAGAGATGGTGGTGGTGGTATGTGGCAGAATCCCCCCCCTGTGGGGAGGGGAGGGTTGCGGGCGGGGTGGGGTGGGGTGGGGTGGGCCTGGCTGGGGCCAGAGAACTTGGGATGCAGATTGGAAATGGGCAACCTTGATTCTAACAATTAGAGCTAGCCCCAAATGGAGTAGGGGTCTCCAAGCAAAGGCTGGCTGACCTCTTGTTGTAGAGGGGACTCTTGTTCAGATACAAGTTGGATGAGATGGCTTCTGAGGCCCCATCCAGCTAGGAGGTTCTAGGCTCCTGTGAATTATAAACCCATAGATCCTCAGGACACAAGGGCCAACCCCCAGTGACTTAATAAATGTTTGTTGAATTCATGGGATTCTAGGATTTTGAGCTGGAAGTGACCTTAAAGAGCATCTAGTTCAACTTGTTCATTTTACAGATAAGGAAACTGAAGCCTCTTGATTTGCCCAAGGTCACATAGGTAGCGGGCCACACGGCATTGAAGTGACTGAGCTAAATTGAACTGAGAGCAGTTAGGTGGCGTGGTGGCCTGGAGTCAGGAAAACCCGAGTTCAAATCTGGCCTCAGACAAACTCACTAGCTGTGTGACCCTGGACAAGGCACTTAACCCCATCTGCCTCAGTTTCCTCATCTGTAACATGAGCAGGAGAAGTAAATGCCAAACCACTCCAGTATCTTTGCCAGGAAAACCCCAGGTGGGGCCACAAAGACTCAGACACGACTGAAAAAAATGACTGAACAACATGAAATACAGACATGTCATTGCTATAAACTTAAGAACTTTGTAGGCAGAAGAATTGACCTCTACAAAGGGAAATGGACCAATGGGTGAGGGTCAGCTGCCCTGAGCTTGAGGCCTGAAGCCAAGTGCAGGGTCTGCTGGGGACAGACAGGAAAAAAACGCGTTTGGTTGTTTTTTTTTGTTTGTTTGTTTGTTTGTTTTAAAGTCAGGGGCCCCAGAGGCAGAGAAAAGAGCTAAGACAACGAGGCAGGCTGGGGAAGGGGGTGGGAACGCCAGTCCTCAGGCTCAGGGAATCGTTGGACCTGAACCGTGAGGGGATCCTGGGCGTGCGGTCAAGTCATTTTGTCCTCGTGCCTGTTAGGAGTCCCTGGTATTGCCCTTGGTGGGAGGATGGGGACTCAGCTGGCAAGTGGTCCAGCTGTCTGGGACAGCCTGCCGAAGCTTCCTGCCCAGCTCCGTGGTCAGAGCTAGGCGAACGAATGAGTGCCAACCAGAGCCGCCCAGTGGTGGTGTTCTATCATCTTCTGGTCGTGTAAGACTCTCTGCAACCCCACTTGGGGTTTCTTGGTAGAGATGCTGAAGTGGCTTGTCATTTCCTTCTCCCGCTCATTTGACAGATGAGGAAACTGAGGCAGACAGGGTTAGGTGACATGCCCAGGGTCACACAGCTAGGAAGTGACTGAGGCCAGATTTGAACTCAGGATGATGAGTTTTGCTGACTCCAGAGCCCAGTGCTAACTGCCCCATGACAGGCATAGTCACATTTTATAGATGAAGAAACGGAGGTTCAGGAGCAGGATCTGAATTAGTCTTCCGGATTCCCCGGAAAGTCACTCCCTGCAGTACTCGGAGCAGGAGACTAGGGTGTCCAGGTTCCCATTCAGGAGAGAACCGTTGGGACCAGACAAGGGAGAGTTAAAGGTCAGGTCTGAAAGTTCAGGCACCAGCCAGTGTGGGATAGAGAGATTTTTCATATGTAAATTAAATGTAAATCCTCTGAAGTAGGTTTGACTTGACTTCATAATAATAATAATAATAATAATAGTAGTAATTAGTAGCTTTCATTTCCATAGAGCCTTAAAGTTTACAAAGTGATTCATTAATTATTTACACTTTCTCCTCTCCATTAAAATGTAAGCACCTTGGGGGCAGCCGGTGGCACAATGGATAGAGCTCCCGCCTTGGAGTCAGGAGGACTTGAGTTCAAATGCGACCTCAGACACTTGACACTTACTAGCTATGTGACCCTGGGCAAGTCACTTAATCCCAATTGCCTCACAAAAAAAAAAAAAAAGCAAATGTCTTCAGAACTGGAACTGTCTTTAGCCTTTCTTTGTAACCCCAGATACATAATAGAGTACTGAGCCTGGCTTGTGGTAGGCACTTAATAAACGCGATAAGATCTTGTAAGCAGATTGTTCCCATTATATAGATGAGGAAACTGAAGTTCAGAGACATAAAGAACTTTGCCAAGGGGATGGGATCAGGATTCCAACTCCAAAACCAGGGGCTTTCTCCTTTCCACTCTGCTATCTGTTTTATTTTTCAATCTACAGATTCTGTTTTACCTTCTCTATAAATCCTAGACTTGTACCTTGATCTAGGGAGGAGCTGGGGAGGGATGGATAGGAGAGGGGAGAGTTAGAATGGAGAGAGGGGACAAAGGCATTGAGGGTTAATAGCAGAAACTGGCAGGAGAGGGAGAAGGAGGAGGAGGAGGAAGGGGAGGAGGGAGAGGAGGAGGATTGGGATCTGCCAATTTCCCAGGCAGGTCAGAGTTCACTGACTCCAGCTAGGGGTTAGAGATCAAGGGGAGTTTAAGAATTAGTGAAGAAGAAAGCCCTGGGGCTGAAGACGAAGGTCCCCCTGAATCGGTTTCAAGAAGTATCGGAGGCCCTGGGAAGCTGACATGGTTCAGTGAGGCCCAAAGCCTGGGGCTAGATCCTTTAAATGTACCCGAGTGACTCCGTCACTGCCAGGGTTCCAAGAACTCAGTTCAGCTCTCAGATGGGAGGCTCAGGAGAGGACCGGGCAAAGAGATGGGGCCAGATTCAGGGACAAGTTCAGAATACAGTGTTCCAGGATGGACTGTATCACACTGGGCTGTGAGTTTCCCCATCATACATGGGACCTGTCAGAAACGTGTGGGTTGGAAGGTGGACCAGTTATGATCCCAAGTCCCCTACTTACACCCCATGTGAGACTTCAGTTTCCTCATCTGCTAAATGAGAGGGTTGGGGGTTCTTAACCTTTTATGGAGCCTATGAACCCCTTTTTAGAATCTTGTTTTTAAATACATAAAATAAAATCCACGGAATCACACAAGCAGCCAATTATATTTGAAATTTAGTTATAAAAAGAAAAATTTTAAACCAAGTTCATGGACCTCCCAAGTTAAGAACTAGATGTTCTCTAAAGCCCTGGCCAGATCTATATCCTGTAATCCTATCCATTAGCCAATCCATAAATACGTACTATGTGCCAGGTATCGGGTATACAAAGACAAAAACTTGAAATAATTCAGGTGAGAGGTAATGAGGGCGTGAACTCGGGTGGTGGTTATATCAATGAAGAAAAGGGGATCCAGCTGGAGAGATATAGTAGAGATAGTATCAATAAGATTTGTTTGTCCACAAGTATTTATTAAGTGCTTGCTTTGCAGCAGGCAAGTGGATAGAGCCCTGAGCTTGGAATCAGGAAGACTCATCTTCCTGAGTTCAAATCAGACCTCAGACACCAGCTGTGTGACCCTGGGCAAGTCACTTCACCCTGTTTGCCTCTGTTTCCTCCTCTGTAAAAAGAGCTGCAGAAGGAAATGGTAAATTACTTCAGTATCCAGTATAGAAGAGTCAGGAACAACTGAAAATGACTGAACAAGCAAATGCCCCAGGGACTGTGCAAAGTATGAGGTTTGCCAAGAAAGATAAAAAACAGTCCCCGCTTTCAAGGAGCTCACACTTTAACCGGGGAAACAATGTGAAAACAACTAGGTACAGAGGAGATGCGAGGAAGTCACATGGTAAAATCTTCACTTTAGAAAAACTACTTTGGCGATTGAGTGGAGGATGGATTGGACTGGCAAGAGAAACAATTAAAAATCCATTGAACAGGCTAGGCAAGAGAAAATGGTGGTGGCCATGTCAGTGGAAAGATGGAGAGACAGAGACAAGAGGTGTCATGGCAGTAGAAAGGACAAGATTTTTTGTTGTTGGTTTTTTGTTGCTTTTTTGGGGGAAGGCAATCAGGGTTAAATGACTTGCTCGGGGTCACACAGATAATAAGTGTCAAGTGTCTGAGTCCTCCTGACTCCAGGGTCTGTGCTCTATTCACTTCACCACCTAGCTGCCCCCAAGGGACAAGATTTGTCAACAGATTAGATAGGAGTGGAGAGACAGAGAGACAGAGAGACAGAGACAGAGAGTCACAGACAGAGACAGAGAGAGAGAGGCAGAGACAGAGACAGAGAGAGAGAGAGAGAGAGAGAGAGAGGAATTAGGGATAACACAGAAACTGCATACCTGGAGGACAAAAAGAATGGCAATGCATGCCTTAATAGGAATAAGAAAGTTTGTAAGAGAAGGAGGCTTGGGCCAGCATAATGACTTCCATTTTGGACAGGTTGGCTTTGATATGTCTATGGGACATCCACTGTGATATGTCCAAGATGCGATTGATCCTAATGGGACTTGTCTAGTAGTTCTGGCTCAAGAGAGAAGTCAGGACTAATGTTTAGGTCTGGGTATCACCAGCATAAAGATGACAGTTGACTAATGGGAGCTGATGAAATCACCAACTGAGACAGTTATTGTTCGTCCTTCGTTTTTGTTTTCCAAGAGAACCAGAGACATGAAGGGGTGATGTCTTGACTTGAGCATGAATTGGATCTAAGTGAGGCAGAGTTGCATAGTTGTCAGCCCTCCTCTCTCTTCCAGAGTCATCCAAGTCCAGTGAAAAGACAACAGTCGAGATGAGTGGCGATGGCCCAGGATGCAGAAAGTAAGACAGTATAGAGATAAAAAAAAGAAAAAGACCCAGGATAGAGCCATAGAGGGAAGAATAGATGGAGATCCAGCAAAGGAGGCTGAGAAGGGGCATTCACACAGATAGAAAAAGAACCAAGAAAGAGCAAAGCAACAGAAACTCAGAAGTGAGAGAGTATTGGGGAGAAGGTAGTCAGCAGCGTCAAATGCTGCAGAGAGGTCGAGAAAGTTGAGCACTGAGAAGAAGCCATTGGATTGGACAATTAAGAGGTCAGCGGTCACTTTGGAGAGAGCAGCTTCAGGTGGATGCTGAGGTTGGAAGCCAGATGGTGAAGGGCTAAGAAACAAATGTAAGAACAGGAAATGTTGGCAGCAAATATAGGTGGCCCTTTTGAAGAGTTTGGAGGAGGAGCGAGATGGGACGGCAGCTTGGGAGGATGCTCAGGACGATCTATGAAGGCTTTTTAAGAATAGGGGAGAGCTGAGTGTATTTGTAAGCCTTTGGGAAAGGAACCAGACTATTTCCAAGGAAAAAGATGGGGGCAGCTCAACTCTCAGCTCCTTCCTCCTTCCTTCCTCTCTCAGGTGATTGTCTGGGGAGACTATGGGCGCATGGACCACAAGTGTTTCATGGGAATGGCCCAGATCGTGCTGGAGGAGCTGGACTTGAGCAACGTGGTCAGTGGCTGGTACAAACTCTTCCCCACGTCTTCTGTGGCCGACTCCACCTTGGGGCCCCTCACCCGGCGTCTCTCCCAATCTTCCCTTGAGAGCTCAACCAGCCCCTCCTGCTCCTAGGAATATGGGGACCTGGACCCCAGGAAGGCAAGGTCGGCGACGGCAGGCCGGGATGTGTGTGTGGGGAGGGATGTGGGTCAGCCTCCTCGCCCCCCCTCCCCCAGGTGGCTCACTGTACATAGCATCTCACCATCTCCTCCTAGAACAACTTACTCATGCTCTGTTGGCCCACAGATTTTCCTGTCTGGGCCATCTCAGCAGGCAGGAGAAGACTCCTCTGTGTGTGTGTGTGTGTGTGTGTGTGTGTGTGTACATTTCTGGGTATATATGTGTGTGTACACAATCCATGTACATGTATACATATGTATGTGTACATGTTTCAGTATGCCTGTATGTATATGTGTCTATTTTTACATTGATATGTATGCACATGTATCCAGTCCATATACGTATATGTATGTATATGTCCAGACTTAAAGAAGCCGGGGCCAGCTCATGCATATCCAGTCCCGGTGAACACAACAGTCCAGTCCCCCAAGTCATCGTGTCTCTAGGCTGAGGGACCAGAGTCATGTTTGTGTTGTCTTTCCTGAGGGTCTCTGAGGAGGGGGACCATTCCGCCATCTGTCCATCCATCTGCCTGACTCCGCTGCCTGTAATGTGAACATCCTCAGTTTCCCTTCCACTGTGCTGTTTTCCCACCCGCTTTTCCTCCTAGGAAAAGACCTGACCAAACGAACCCTCTTCAGCACTGTCGGCCCACCCCTCCCTTTTGGGGAATGTAGCGCCCAATGTAGCCTGCCGCAGGCAGACCTCACCCTTGCTGCAGCCCTGCTGGGCGAGTTCTCCCCGACTCGGGAGCCTCTGCCCACTGATGGCAACCTCCCTCTTCCAGCATCTTTCCTCAGCACTGGCACCTCATTCAATGCATCTTGTAGCATGCAGCACGTGCAATAGGCGAGGCTCCTAAGGGAAGAAGAAGGGGCTTGGAGTGCTTAGGAGGCTAAGACCTCTTGTGCCTACATGGACAGTCCTGGATTCATCAGTCGCCCTCCTTGCATGTGAAGCATTTTCCATTCCTGAGTAGCTGCCAGGAGACGCCAAGTGTCTTTCATGGCTGTGTCCTCCTGGGAGCAGAACAGTAATCAACCCACCACCAGGCTCTCTGATTTCCCATCTCTTGACTCAGGAGGAGACACGGGATCCTGGCTGGTGGTCACAGAACAGCTTCTCCAGGAATGGCGTTGAGCCCATCAGAAGAGTGATGTCCTGCTGCCAACCTTGAGCTGTACCTCGGAAGGACACCCCCCACCCCCCCACCATGGTAGCGGAGGGGGATAATTCCTGAAGAAAACCCTTTACCTCACCAAGGCTCTGTGGGTGACTCAGGTCACTGCTGACATCAGACTCTGGGTTTGGAGGTGTGTCCACCAAAGATCGAGCAAAGCCCAAGGGCCCCCCATCTACTCAGTTCCCTGGCACTAAGCCCCCATCTTTTGTGCCTGAGTGTGCCCAGCACTTCTTGTCTCTGAGGTTCTCCTCAGGGAAGAAGGTCCTCTATCCTTCTCCCTGGAGTGAAGAAACTCAGTTCTTACCCTGGAACCCTGGGACTACCCAGACCACCAATTCTTTACCAAGCAATATGTGTTGCTCCCCAAGTCCTCGCCTCTTTTGACCCTCTGCCCCTCCCTAATGGATTCTGGCCAGAGCTTGCCCAACGGGATGTGCACCATGTGAATGTGGGGGAAATCGGGCTAGCTCTGGGCAAAGGGTCTAGCCTTCTGTTGGAGTCAAAGCTGTGTTTGTGTCATGGGACCTCTGAAAAGCCCTCAAACCTTTTGGATGCCACCCAGCCACAGGCACCTTACTCTGGTCTAGAATAGTGACATACCTGAAGGCAGTATCTGTCTGCCTTGCTTGGGACACAGAAACAGCCCCCTCCCCTGTGCTGGGTCTTGTAGGATCACTACTGAGCAGTCTTCTGCCTCCTGGGTCCAGTCTTGGCAATATTTTCTCTTTGGCCACCAGGACCTTCTCATTCTCTCGAGAAGTCCTTGTACGGCTTTCTCTGGGCTGAAGGCTGAGTATGTATCTGATTATTAGACTATAAGGCAGAGCCAGGGAGGTGTTCTCAATACCAAGACTGAGCTCTAGGGGCAGCAGGAGCGGGTCACTTTCCTTTCAGTCTGTAGCTTTGAGGCTGTGTTCCAGGATGTCCCCCTTTCCTGCCTCAGGAAGACAAGACACGTCTGTCTGTCTTTCTTTCTTTCTTTCTTTCTTTCTTTCTTTCTTTCTTTCTTTCTTTCTTTCTTTCTTTCTTTCTTTCTTTCTTTCTCTTTCTTTCTTTCTTTCTCTCTTTCTTTCTTTCTTTCTTTTTGCCTTTTAGTAAGGCAATCAGGGGTTAACTGACTTGCCCAGAGTCACACAGCTAGTAAGTGTCATGTGTCCGAAGTCGGATTTGAACTCAGGTCCTCCTGATTTCAAGGCTGGAGCTCCATCCACTGCATCACTTAGCTGCCCCGAGGCACGTCTTTCTTCATCAGCAGATGAAACAGCAATGTTAAGTTAGGCCAGTGCAGTTGAAGACAGTGAGAGAAACTGAGAATAGCCGGAGGAAGGGTTCTGGCTGTATGCTTTGGGCTGAACTTGTCCCAAAGCAGTGTGGGAGGGCAATCAGAGGCCCTAGCGGTAACTCCACGTGGAATCGTCTTCCTTGGCCTGGATTAGCCCAAGAGTCATTAGGAGCAATTGATACCAAGACTGTGTGTGTGTGGTGCGTATGGGTGTGCAGGGGCCCATGCGTGTGCAGTGTATACCTACCTGCAGGTGACTAGGGTAAAGAAAATCAGGGATTGCTCCAGACAATCCTGGAGCTTTGCCAGTCAGCCTGACAAATGGGAGGCAGTAAGGACAAAACCATCCATACCCTGTCTTCTTCCCCAGCTGAGTAGAAAGGGATCTCCCCCTCTCAACGGAGAGATTCACTGTTCCCAGAGCTGGAGAAGGGGTTGGGATAGTGTTTTTTTGGTCCCATGTCAAAGATCAAGGGTCCTCTTGTCACATTATCATCCCACATCTGGTCACTAATAGATGGTACAGTAAATGGACTATTTTTTTCTCAGAGCCAAAAACACAATCTGTCCCAAGTTCTCATGACCCCTTCTGGGTGGTCTCAAAGACCTGTGGTCAATTTGGGGTGGCGTGGCCACAGCCGGTGGTGGTGATACCCGTTGGTGACCGTGGTGGTCTTTGGGTGCACCTGGCATGGTCATCTTCAGAGAGGTCACTCATCAGGAGGCACTGCCTAGGGTTAGTGTCTACCTGGGTATGGATAGAGGGAGGTCTACATTTGAGGATCTGGAACCCAAGAGGAGAGTGACCAAGATGGAGGGGAGGTACAAAATTATTTGTTAGAGGACTGACAAAAGGAACTAGAGTAATTTAGTTTGGAGAAGACTTGGGGGAAGGGGGTCAACCTATAACCTGCTTGACCCCAGACAGCAGAGCTAGAACCAGCGAGAACAAATTACAGGGAGGCAGGTTTCAGTGTGAGAGGGATAGAGGTTGTACCTAAGTCTTCTTGGCTTTAAAGTCAGCTCCTCTAACCACTACACCATGCTGCCTTTCTCCTACAAATCAAGAGTTGCTTCACCTTGGAACAGACTTCCCTAGAAAGTAGTGAGTTCCATGTCATTGGAGGTCATGTGATCTATACCTGGAAAGGTCCTAGAGATCATCTGCTTCTAAAATGAAGTCTGGGTCACCAGTCAGAGATGCCATATAGAGGAGATCTCTGGACCAGGAGGCTTCTGAGGTCCCCTCCAGCTTGGGGCTGGGACAAGAGGGGAATGAGCAGGGAGCGTGAGACTTCTAGAACAGTGTGGACACACGCTAGGGCCCTCCTGAAGCCTAAGGTGTTCACATTCAGAGCCATTATTAACAAGGGCTGGCACTGGGTGGCTTGTGGTGGCACTCTCCCCAGAGAGGGGGTTGGCATTAAGGAAGGTTCAGCCAGGATGCCAGGCTGGCCCTTACCTGGCCATGTCAATCTTCCATTTCTTAGTGCCTGGATCAAAGGCCCCATGGGAGGTGGCTATACCTTCCCACCTATCAGTCCTTCTCTGAGGAAAGGGATAGGCAACAGTTTCTTCTTGGAAACCCATTCACGACAACCATCTGCCCAGTGTAACTTGTATGCCCAGGTGTGTGTGAGAACATGGTCATTCCGCACCTTTGTGTACCTGTGTACATACCTGTGTGATGTGTAGACAGACTGCCTATAAAGGCATCTTGCTTGTGGATGTTTGTAGCATCAATGTGGGGGTTCTAAACTTTGTAGCAAGTATCAGCCAGGGAAGTCTCCTTGGCCTTCCCACCTGTGAGGGGCACAAAACCCTGGACCTTGTGTCTGCTGCCTAGGGGTCAGACTTCAGCTTGCTTGGCTCCAGCCTGGGGCAGACCTAACAGTCTTCTTCTTGTAGTCATAAGGAAGTTATACCCTTTTGGCAAGGGGTGGAACGTATGCAAAATTGCTTCATTGCCTCTGCCCCTTTCCCTTGGTAATTTACCCCAGTGCTATGGGCACATGAGCTGGTCAGCCAAATGTCATCACAGGCAAGAGAAGGGAGCTAGTCCCAGGGTCTATGAATGGACACGGCTTGATCCAGACTTCCATTCCTTTGTGTAGCCAGAGTCCAGGACTGGAAGGAGGCAGGAGCACTGTCGCAAAGCCTGGGGATAGGCAAGTGCCTAGGGAGTGCTCCCGTTAGCAGGCAAGGCGGTAGATGGTGTTGGGTAACTGTGAGGTCCAATATGGTTATGACCAGAGGCAGGCTTCTTACAAGGGTGGCCAGCAGAAACTTGACCTGGTTAGCTAAGGAGTTTGACCTCCCACTTCTTCTTTCTTGAGGCAGCATCCTCCCATAAAATATCAAGACCCCATTCTGATTTTCTAGGCTCCCATGAATATTTGTTGGGGGTAGCTATAAAAATGTCAGATGGCTGTCTTAGGGAGGACCTTGGAGGAGGGAGAAGAAAACCCCCTTCTGAAGGAAAGCAGGCCTCTCTTGAAGTAAATCTACAAAAGAACCATAGCTGGAAAGGACAGGAGACCATTTCCAACACCCTTACCCCTCCCCTTCCCACCCCCCATTTCAACTTGGAGAATATCATGTACTAATCATCTCTTGGCATCTGGCCCATGTCCTGGGGAATGCTGGCATTTCTCAGGAACAAGGCCTGGAAACTGGGTCCTCCATGGAATGGAAACCCACTCAGCTCATTCATCCTGGACTCACTTGGGCTGATCAACTTGACTGCTGCTCTAGGGAAATTCCAGC